GCGATCTTGTCGAGTGGCAACCCGTCGGAGAACAGTATCGAGATCGGCAAGCGCATCAGCAATTGGGACGTTGTGAACGTTCAGGAAGATTTCAACTACCACGCTTATGTCTACTCGGAGAACTCGCACCTCTATCGAACCGCAACGAGCGGAGGTATTCCATTCGGTGATGGGCTCAACACTTTGTCGAACTTCTCGTTCAGCAACATCACCGATTTGACGCGCACCAAGTGGAGTGTCTGCAGTACGTTTGATGGTGCCGATTGCCTCACCCCCAAGGGCTTTACGTTCCTCGAGATTCAGCTAGCCGATGGAGTCACAGTTGACCTCTACAACCTGCACGCTGATGCGGGTGTCACGGCTGCTGACGAAGTGGCTCGGGCGGCAAACCTCGCCCAGCTCAGTGAGTTTATCACTACTAACTCAGCTGACAATGCTGTCATCGTCATGGGGGACACCAACACTCGCTACACTCGTGCGGACGATACCATTCGGGAGTTTGTGGAAGGCCTTGGTCTCACGGACGGCTGGGTAGAATACGTTCGCAACGGGGTATACCCGACCAAAGGAGCGGATGCTATCGTGTGTGACGCAAACAAAATGACCAACAATTGTGAGGTGGTCGACAAGATCATGTTCCGTGGCAATAACTACATCACTCTAACACTTGACAAGTGGAATAACGAGAACGCTGCCTTCCTGGATAGCAATGGAGCTATGCTGTCGGACCATCCGCCGATATCATCCACTTTTTCTTGGACATTAAACGACGAGATTCGTCTGAGCAACGCTGTTGGAGGACCGCATGGAGACCAATTCACGGACGTTGCATCAGCAGCCGGAGGCCAAACCGTGAAATCCATCACGTTGCGATCGGGATCGCGTGTAGATGCAGTAAGCATCTCGATCTCAGCACCAAGCGCAACGACGTTCTCACATGGCGGCACTGGTGGCACCGCAAAAACACTGACTCTGTCTTCTGGCGAGTATATTACATCCATGCAAGCTCACTGGAGCAAATACAACGGCCGTACGCGTATTTTCTATCTCAAGTTCACAACGAATCTGGGCAACACACTGTCGGGAGGGCTCCTCAAGAGGCTTTAACACTCCATCACTTTTCTGTTGATCCCATCCAAACGCATTAGCGCAGTAGTTGCGCAGTGCTGCCACATCCGGAGCACTCCATGAGAAGCGAGCTTCAGAACGATCCACTTGTGGAGTCATGTACGCTTGAACCACCTGCTTGCTCGGAAACTCGTCCCCAAGTTCCCATTTCCGTCGCGCAGTGGCATGAGACCGTTGGAATCGTTCACGAG